CGTCAGGTCAGCATTTATGGAGACGAGTGGCTGCGGGCGACCCGCTGGCTCGTTTGTGCACATTTCTGCTCGTCTCTCCTCCGCGGACCCATGGTTTCCGGGGCCCTCCCAGCTCCCAAGCCCCGTGGCTGGGTCCGGCGGGAGCGGGAGCGTTGCCGGCTACTAGGTGGGACTTTGCAGACCCTGCGCGCTGAGCCGTTGGGGCTGAGTTTTGATTTATTGCTTCTGTTGTCTTGCTTCACCGATAGGGTAGCTGAGGACGTGTCATCGCGAGGCAGTATGCAAAGCCTCCTCTTCTGTTAAAACAAACAAACAAACAGAAAAACAACAAGTTTTCAATGCAAAGCCTCCTCTTCTGTTAAAACAAACAAACAAAAAAACAACAAGTTTTCTTGAGGCTTTTGGTTACTGGGACACACGGTATGTTACTGTCCAGCAACATGAAGTGAGAGGTGCTTAGAACAGGGGCTCTAGCCAGTCCGAAGTATCCAGTATTTTAAGGAAAGTGCAGTAGGCTCTTTAATTGCAACTAGTTGTTTTGGCAACTTATTTTACTTGAAAATTTATATTTATTGATTGTTTTGAGAAGAGGGGGGGGAGGGGAGAGAGAGAGAGAGAAACATCAATTTGTTGTTCCACCCACTTATGCATTCATTGATTGATTCTTGTATGAGCCCTGACCCGATGGAACCCACAACCTGGCAATAATAGCACAAATTAAGTTGTGCTATTAAGAATGAATCATTGCCCGGAGTGACTCAGTGGTTGAGCATCGATCTATGAACCAGGAGATCAGGGTTCGATTCCCGGTCAGGGCACATGCCCTGGTTGCGGGCTCTATCCCCAGTGTGGGGAGTGCAGGAGGCAGCTGGTCAGTGAAATTCTCTCGTCATTGATGTTTCTGTCTCCCTCTCCCTTCCTCTCTGAAATCAGTAAAGATATATTTTAAAAAGGAAGAATGAATACATTGATTCAGGGAGGATTTTACTGTGCAGTGGTTTGAATAGGATGATTATAGAGAAAACACATTCAGTTGAAGCATGAAACAACTGTTAACATGTTAAAATCGATTTAAAGGTGCAAGCCAAGTTGAAAATGTTCTAATTTCTTAAATCCTTCGATTTTCATCCTTAATACCAGCTATAATTCTTGACTCCAGAGGGATACAAAGCAGACCGTGGCGGTCATGAACAGAGGACAGCTGTAAGATAACTTTTGCAGGGGCCAGACTGATGTTTTCCGTATGTCAGGTGGTACTTAGAGCAGCTCCACAGTGAATAGGGTTATGTCATAGAAAAAGTCCCAGCGGTAAACATGCACGTCTGCCTGTTCTGTAACGTTGTGATAAGGTTTTCTGCAAACTGAAGATTAGTCTTGAAGGGTGTGATCTTAGATTAGCTTCTAAAAATTCCCTTCTCCTCGGCTACTCATTCTACTGTTGTGTTTACATAGTGCCTTTTCTTCCCAAGAAGCCCAGAAGGTCCAGGCATAATTTATCTTTTTATGTGGAAAGTAAGGTCCGTGAAAAATGTAGTAGATGCAAAAACAGAATAGTTAAATGGCTTCTCAAAGGTCGTCTGTCTGATGTGAGGCCACTCTGCCAGTTAATGGTAGAGTCTGAAAATTCAAAACCTAGGTGTCACTCCAGAACCTGTGCTCTGCGGGAGTTTATTGTGTAGGGATTCATCGGCCTTTGATCAAAGTTACTGTCTTCGGTGTGGCCCCCCCCATCCCCATGCCCCCATCGTCTTAGAAGGAGGGCCAACAGTAAGCCCAGTGTCAGACTCATTAATTTTTCTTCTTTTACCAGAAACGAGTTTTCTAAAATTGTACCTCAAATTAATCCTTCAGGTTTTCCCTCGGTTCTTGAACGTCTCCCATCAGGAACAATTCTGTTCTTGACCATATTGTTAACAGAAAAAATGTCTCCCCTTGGCTGGCATGGCTCAGTGGTTAGAACATTAGCCTGTGCACCAGAGGATCTTGACTTTATTCCCGATCAAGGGCACGTATCTGGGTTGCAGGTTCAATCCCCAATCCGGGTTGGGGCTTATGCTGGAGGCAACCAATCGATCTCTCTCTCTCTCTTTCTCTCTTTCCCCTCCTTTCTCTCTTCCATTCTCTCTAGAAACCAATGGAAAAAATATCCTCACTCCTTGGATGAGGCTCAGAAAAAATATTTTAAAAAATGTCTCTGTTTTTGACCAAAACTTCAGTTTTTGACCTGACAGCCCTTTTGTGCTGAGGTCAGCGTGACAAAAAGCAGCTCTCAGGTAACAAAGAGAATGCTTTTGTTGTTGGAGAATCAACCGATTAGCACAATTTTAGAACGTAAAGAGGCCATCAAGAGTGCTCATGTTGCTAAGGGTGTGAGAGAAGCAGTGATCACAGAAGAGGTAGAAAAACTGTTGATTTGGATAAACAAAAAGCAGTGGGCGTGGAGGCCGCGATAGTGAAAGAGCATCGATGGAGCCCGCTGGTCTCTTGAAAGGCACCGGTGGAACGAGTGCTGAAAGCGACTCCTTTAAGGCTGGACGGGGGTAGTTCGATAAATTCAAGAAAAGAAGTGCTTGTTTATAGGTTAAACAGTACATTGAACAGTACTGTATACAAAAAAGGTTAAAACAGGAAATCATTTGGGGGTCATTTGGGGGTCAATTTCCATTCTTTCTAGGGGGAAAAAATGATTTGGTTTTCGAACAAATCCCCTCTCGAACAGCCTTCCGGAGCTAATTGCGTTCGAGAACCAAGGTTCCACTGTACTGAGAATTCAGTGTCTCATCTTTCCTCTAACAAGCCCTCCTACCAATTTCCGCTCTCATTAACACCTCCTTACTCCCGTTGCTGGTGTTTTAAATCCTGGCCGGTCCCTTTCTTTCTTGCTATTTCTGCGACCTATTCTTTCCTCCATGTTTCTGTCCGTCGCCTCCTGTACCAGCTTATGACCTTCAGTTGAAGTGCAAACTCATCTATCCGGTTGGTGTTGTGCAGTGGAAAGAGGACGATGGGCTCGGGAGTTAGTCGGTCTGCCCGCTTACAGATTTCCTCCCTTCTCTAGGAGATCAGTGTCCTCATCTGGAGAACGGGAATGGTAACACTTACCTTTTACTGTCCCCTGAGGATGAAATGAGATTGTACATGTAAGACACCTGTCCATACGTAGCACATGCTCAAGAGTCAAGTTTTCCTCCTCCTTCCCTTTCTCCTCTGCCAAACTGATGTCTTTATGCCTGGGCCAACACTGTCCTCGTGACAGGAGGCATCCCCGCTTGTTTGCTTGAGTATTCATTCATTCATTTCTACCTTTGTGCACATCATTACTACCAAAACGTTCTCCCTTCCCCCAGTGGCATCTTTCTGCTAGGCTTCCAGCTTCCAGAATTCAACTCAAAGCTCAATTCCAAAAAGTCTGTCTTGATTAACCCCACTCAGCTTAACTACTGTGTTCTTTTTAAAGCCTAGTTTTATTTTTTTTTTAATATGTCTTTGTTGATTTTAGAGAGAGGAAGGGAGAGGGGTAGAGATAGAAATATCGATGAGAGAGAAGCATAATTGATCGGCTGTCTGCCTCCTGCACGCCTACTGGGGATCAAGCCTTCAACCTGGGCATGTGCCCTGACCGGGAATGGAACCGGTGATCTCTTGGTTTATGGGTGTTGATGCTCAACAACTGAGCCACACCAGGTGGGCTGTGGTGGGTTTTTTTCCCTTAAAGTTACATAGTTTGTTTCTTTAATTAGAATGTGTTATTTTGTCATTCCGAGATATGTTTACCATTTATTACAATTTTTCCTTTTTTAATTTGTAGAATCTGATGTTCCAGCAGAACTCCAGGTGTTAAAAGGACCGCAGCAGCAGCAGCCAACCTTCCCTTTTGCAGTTGCCAACCAACTATTGCTTGTCTCTCTGCTGGAACACTTGAGCCATGTGCATGAACCAAACCCATTTCGTTCAAGACAGGTGTTTAAATGTTAGTAAGCATAAATTCATCTTGCTAAATAACACTTGTAAAAGTACTATGGTATTTAATGCTGCGGGTGTATAAAAATTTGAAATAAGTATTATTAGCTTATATTTTTAAAAATATATATTTACTGATTTCAGAGAGGGGAAAAGAGAGAGAGATAGAAACGTCAATGATGAGAGAGAATCATTGATCAGCTGTCTCCTGCACACCCCCTACTGGGGATGGAGCCCAGAACCCGGGCATGTGCCCTAACCTGGAATTGAACCGTGACTTCCTGGTTCATAGGTCCATGCTCAACCACTGAGCCATGCTGGCTGGGCAATATAGTTTATATTTCTTAAAATTCATTTTATATTTTGCTTTGGGTAATTCCTTATGAATATAACTAGAGGCCCGATGATATGTGCAAGGGTCTTGGCCCTCTCAGCCTCAGCTGCCTCGGCCCTTGTAGTCCTGGCTTCATCAGGAAGGGGCTTCATCCGGAAGGTCGTCGGAAGGTAGTTCCGCCTTCTGGTCTAATTAGCATATTAGCTCTTTATTATATAGGATTACTAGGTTCCCTGAAAGATTAATAACCATAAAATTGTTCATATTTAAATAAAAGATAGGTTTTTTTGTATCTATAACATGATAATCCATATAATGTGTGAAGCTCTCTTATGGTTTAGTCAGTGAACAGGTAAATGAAAATCACAGATAGTCATTTTGAGCCAGGTCTTGACCAGAGTGCTGGAACAGCAGTATTTTTGTTGTTGAAAAAGAAACTTTTCCTCTACACTAAATACTTTTAACACCAACTGTGTGGTGTTTCTTTTCCTGCACTGCCCGGCTCTCTGTGTTGGTTAAGATATTCCATAATAGAAACAATAGTTAATATTCACTTTTGTTGTTCATTCTAATCATTTATTTCCACTTCTGCCTTTATTCTTATCTCAATGCCTGTTTGCAAAATGAAATATGTTTGAAAATCAGAAGACTACTGTGATTACATTTTTCTTGCCTTTTTAAAAGATGGAGCTTAGTATTTTACTGACCAACCAGAAATGGTAAACAAATGACTGACTGTTCAATGTCAGAGAAGTCAGTATAGATGTGCTCCTGAGCAGTGAGTGTACCAGTTGCTTCACTTTGACGGAATCAATCCCCAAGTTGGAATGCGTGTATGAACGGAACTTTTTTCTCATAGAGGCTGTTTTCACTCTTTATGCTGTGTACTCTTCAGAAGTGCCATTTTAGCCCAGTCAGATGTGGCTCCGTGGTTGAGCGTTGACCTAGATCTATGAACTAGAAGGTCACGGTTCGATTCCTAGGCAGGGCACATGCCTGGGTTGCAGGCTTCATCCCCAGTAGGGGGCGTGCAGGAGGCAGCCGATTGATGATTCTCTCATCATTGATGTTTCTATCTCTCCCTGTCCCTTACTCTCTGAAATAAAAAATATATATATTAAAAAAATTACCATTATAAAATGGCCTTCTAATAATTCTCCGCATTCTTTTTCTAGTACTTTGTCAGACCTTTATCAAAATGGGGCTGCTGTCTTCTTTCACCTGCAGTGATGAGTTCAGCTCATTGAGACTACATCACAACAGAGCCATCACTCATCTAATGAGGTCAGCGAGAGAGAGCGTTCGTCAGGTGAGCTTCAAAATACGTGCTTGGTATGTGACAAAAACGTTTTGATTTCCAGAGGGCTGTGTCTTAAAGCGTTATGAAATCCTGGTTATAAAGAGGTTTATAAAATGTTTAACTTTAATTTGTTTATGTAACAACTATTTCTGAATGGCTGCTGTGTGTTAGGCTCTCTGGTACGTGCTGGGGTCCAAGCAGTAAGCAACATAGACAGAATCCCGGCCTCAGGGAGCTTCTGTTGTAAAGAGCAGGTAGTAAACAACGGAACAAGGAAAATGCGGAAAAATAAATGGGTTCGATGGTGAGAAGTGTTAAGGAGAAATAAAGCAGGGAAGGGACTTAGGAAATGTGTGAATGTTACGGGGGGTGGCCGGGGAGGGCCGCACTGAGACTCATGTAAGTTGGGAGCTGAGGCTGAGAGGAGGCGCCGCACAGGTGCCTGGAGGAAAAGCGCTCGAGTGGAGGCACAGCAGCTCCCCAGGGAGCAGTGTGTCAGGTGTGGGGGAGCAGGCTAGGCAGCCGTGTGGCTGGAGTGAGCAGGGGAGCGTGGTGGGGGCAAGAGGGCAGTAAGAGGGACGGTGGAGTTGGACAATAGAGTCCGATTTTGAGACCATTTTAATGTCTTTGGTGTTCACTCAGTGGAAAGGCAGCACTGCCGGATTTTGAGCAGAAGAATGGCATCATCTGACTTATGAGTTAATGGGATCAACCAGCTTCTGTGTTGAGCATAGACAGGGGGGGCCAAGGGCAAAAGCAGGGGCACTGGTGCATCATACAGGCAAGAAGCGATGGTGGTGGCTCTGAATGGGTGGTAGCCGTGGAGACGTGAGAAGTTGTCAGTTTCTGCATAGTGGTATATTCTGAAGGTAAAAATCGCCATTTGCTTATGGTGCTCGTTGGTACATTCTCAGCTTTGACAGTGGGTAGCAAGAATGTAGCTTTTTTAGTAGTGATCTTCTGGTTAATAGAGATATATTTTCCATTGTAAACTTTTAGGTAATGTTGAAAAAGCCATTGAGTCTTATTTTTTAATATTGTGTAAGCATTTGAGACTATTGATATGACATTGAATTTTGATAGATTCCTTATTCCATAAAATTTTCAAAATGCTTTTAAAAATAATTTTTTTATTTTAGGATCCTTGTGAGGATAGTTCTCATATTCCGAAGATCAGGTTTGTATCAAATACTTTTGTGATTATTTAAATATTACTATTAAGTCAGGATTAAGAATCAATCCTGAATTAATCAGAAATGAGTTTTGAGTTTAAAAATACTATAGTTAGTATAGTTCCAGGGTTGGCAAACCGTGGCTCGCGAGCCACATGCGGCTCTTTGGCCCCTTCAGTGTGGCTCCTCCACAAAATACCACGTGCAGGTGCACACATACAGTGCGATTGAAACTTCGTGGCCCATGCGCAGAAGTTGGTATTTTGTGGAAGAGCTGGTATTTTGTGGAAGAGCCACACTGAAGGGGCCAAAGAGCCGCATATGGCTCGCGAGCCCCGGTTTGCCGAGCCGCAGTTTGCCGACCACTGGTATAGTTTATGCAAATTAAAAAACTTTTTTCTCAGCAATTAATTACTGCTCCAAGATTTGCTTTAATTCTCATTTCCCTCCTTTAATAAAAAAAAAAGGTTTTTTTGTTGTTTTGCTTTAAAATTATTTTTCTTCATTTTTGATCCCCTGCTCTCCTCATTCACTGTGGATTCCATAAGCCCCAGCCTTAGCGCAGGGCACTGATATCTGGTCTCTGTCAGGGAAAACCATTGAATGTTGCCTATTTAGGAAGTGTTAATATAAAATCTGTAACTTGTCTGGAAATTTAAGTGACTTTCTCACTGAACTCCGCTAATCTTTTGCCTGTTTAGTTAGTCATTGAGTACTTATTACTGATAAAATACTTAAAATTAGATTAATGATTTTAATCTAAATCAGGTTTTCATTTTGCTATCATATCAACCTGTCAATTTGCTTAGCAAATGTTTTTTTCATAGAGAATGAAAAATTGCATTAAAAATATTTTTATTGACTTCAGAGAGGAAGGGAGAGGGAGAAAGAGGTAGAAACATCAGTGATGAGAGATAATCATCAGTTGGCTGTCTCCTGCACGCTCCACACTGGGGATCGAGCCCCGGGCATGTTCCCTGACCAGGAATCAAATCATGACCTCTTGGTTCATGGGTTGACATTCAGCCAGTGAGCCACACTGGCCGCTCTGAAATTCAATTTTCATTTTAGCTCATCCTTTCCAAGTCACCACAATTTAGTGATGAAGGAAGTTAGAAGGTTAGTAGTAAAACAGGGAACATGAACTGCCTAGAACATTCTGACGTGCTCATGCTCTAATATTGGCTGTTTGTTTTAACTTTCAGATCAAGGGAAGTAGCCTTTGAAGCACAGACTTCACGTTACTTAAATGAGTTTGAAGAGGTTTCCATCTTAGGAAAAGGTGGATATGGAAGAGTATACAAGGTTGTTTTCCGCATGTCTTTTTTGACCTACTGCTTTAAATAAATGTATTGAGAAGTTGTTTTCAATATTGAAAGTAGGCAAAGGGAGATTCCTAGAAATTGTGTATATTTACTTTCCACCAAGATTCGTCATTTATGGGGAAGTGGGCAGATTTTCATTTTTTCCTAACCACATCGGTGGGTTGGTGGATTCTGGAAACTGAGTTTTTGTCCTATAGTTACCTTTTGTATAAAATGTTTTACTGAAAAGAACTGTGCTGCTGTTTTTTGGGCTTCACAGAGCCCTTTGGCTAACACTGCCATTCTTCTGACCGGGGGCTTCTGGGAGTTGGCCTCTCCTTGCATTTGAAAACCTGTTGTCTAGTTGAGCACGGCTGACTTCCCTGACCATAGCAAAGCGCTCAGGTGTCTTTACCTTAATTTTACCTCTTTGGCTCGTTTGGATGGTCTAAGTTCAGGTTAAAGAACTTTCCTTATTCGGTTGAAATTTAATGACACAATATACTTTGTCTTTTTCTCTACTTTTTAGGTCAGGAATAAATTAGATGGTCAGTATTACGCGATTAAGAAAATCCTGATTAAGGGTGCAACTAAGACAGATTGCATGAAGGTAAGATTTTAAAAAATGTATTTATTTTGAATAATTGAGTATTTGTTTTTTTGAAATAGTTGTTGTATGTGTGTGTGTGTGTGTGCGTGTGTGTGTGAGAGAGAGTGTATTTGGCAAATACTAGGTGTATGGGTTGCCAGTTTATTAAGAATGGGTTACAGTAACAAACATAAGAACTGAATTTATTTGACTTAGTTTTTTATAGGCATTTCATATTGGCCACATTTCAGGGTCATTGCTGGGGAAATTAAGTTTTAAATTAAATTATTCATATAAATACAAGTTGCTATAAAACAAAAGAAAACATGAGCTCAGTCCAGGTCCCAGTCTTCTCCCTGACATGCTGTGTGGTCCTGGGCAAATTACCTAGGACTCCAAGTCACGTCTATCTTCTGCCCTTGACAACAGGTTTTATTTACCTTGTGAACTGGACTTCGTTATAGGAGAATGAGTGTAAATGAACTATGCAAAGCATAAAGTGCCGTGTATATGTAAGTTTAGTGGCTATAACAATGGCTTTGGCCTCTCATAAAGATATTCCCGTTATTTTAACATCGTTTAGATTGCTTGTACAGAGGGATTTTTCTGTTTGCTCTGGAACAAGTGGTAGTATTTGATACCATGAGCATTTAACCACTTGCCAGTGCAAGCTCGGTCTAATGATGCTTCTCCTTTAGGTTCTACGGGAAGTGAAGGTGCTGGCGGGTCTTCAGCACCCTAACATTGTGGGCTATCACACTGCTTGGATTGAGCATGTTCACGTGGCCCAAACGCACGGTAAGCAGTTGCAGATTAGATAGAGTTGAAGGTCGGCAAAGCTCATTCTTTTATGTTTTTTAAATATTAAAAGGCACAAAAAGAAGACTATTTTGTGAAAATTATATGAAATTCCTCATTTCAGTGTCAGTAAATACAGTTTATTAGAACACGGGCTCATCTGTAGGTATTGTCTGTGGCTGCTTTTGTCCACAACAGCGGAGCTGAGTAGCCGCAGGGAGTCTCAGGGCCCGAGAAACCTGACCTGTCGATCAGGTCCTGCACAGAGAGTTTGCTGACCCCTCGGGTAGAGGAACAGCTGTTTTATGGTTCCTTATATGTGCCAGTCGTTTGAATAAGCTTGTATTGTACTTTGCCAGAAGATCATGACATTTTTTATTTTATTTTTTGTTAATCCTCACCCGAGGATATTTTTTCCATTGATTTTTAGAGAGTGGAAGGGAGGGGGAGAGACAGAGAGAGAGAAACGACGATATGAGAGAGACATATTGATTGGTTGCCTTCCACACGAACCCCAACCGGTGGCCGGGGATCAAACCTGCAACCTTGGTACATGCCCTTGACCGGAATCAAACCCAGGACCCTTCAGTCTGTGGGCGATGCTCTATCCACTGAGGAATACTGGCCAGGACAGTCATGATGTTTTTAGATAGGTTGTTTCATTTGGCATTATTTGTATATTTTAGCTCTGCCTTTGACTATGAATTAGGAAATTGGGCTGCTTAAGGGTTTGTTTCTGTTTTTATTCAGCAGATAGAATTTCTGTTCAGTTGCCATCTCTGAAAGTGATCTCCGCCCAGGAGGGCGACAGGTATGTGCACTGGTGTAGCCTTTGCAGGTTGACATAACCTGTCACCTGCATTGGGTTGCCTTTGTCTTTTGCTGTTAGGAGTTCAGGAATGTTTTAGACTTCGTTTTTGCTTATTTTCATTATGAAATGTTAAATTATTTCCTCCCCTTAGATATTTCCTGTCAGAATTTTAAATAAATGTAGTTGCTAGGTAGATTTGATGACTCCTCTCCCCCCTCCCCCCAGGGCTTTACCAGTAAGAATTACATAGGCCTGAAGGAACAGTCGAGTTACTCTTGATCTTTTTTTTACATTGATTATTAATTATTATTTTTACTGTTTTTTCCCCTCCAGAGATCAATATGATGTTAAAAATGATGAAAGTAACAGCTCATCCATTATCTTCGCCGAGTTGACCTCAGAAAAAGAAAAACTCTTAGGAGAGTCTGGCATTGAAAATCAGAATAACAAATTGGTGAACTATACCCCCAATCTAGTCACAAGAAATGCCAGTGGATTTGAATTATCCATTGAGCTCCAAGAAAATGGCCTGGATGAGTGGTCTTCCAGATCGATGGCTGCGAATCAGCTGCCACTTAGGCTTAATTCAGACTTGGAGGGGAATTTCACATCCACTGAGGAATCGTCTGAAGAAAACTTAAACATGGTGGGACAGACAGAGGTAGATTCCTGTTTACTCATAATAATTGTACAGGGGACTGTGATTAGACATGGCCGCCCCTCTTCCTCAGCTGGCTTCCCACCTGTTGTTCCTCCCTCTCTGCTCTAGCCCTTCTGTCCTGTGTTCAGTCTCTTCTGTCCACATTCCCTATGTATTTGAACTTCACACCTTCCCTTAGTTAACTCGCCCTTTTCTGGGTCATTCCTTCCTCTAGATAGTATCATATATGTTCCCTGGAGTGGGAAGCATGGTGCACGGTCTGTTTCTGTTGTATGTTAACACTGGGTTATACATATATATTTATGCAGAAATATTTTCTACATTTGGAACATGGCTTTCAGAGAGTCCGAGTAGGATTACCAGGTCATGTTTCAGACGACTCTCGTTGAGGGCTACACTGATGCGCTGGTGAGACTCCAATGTACTCGCTCCAGTGTCAAGTATTAGTGTTAAGAAACTTGAAGATTAACAGGGTCTGCACATAACTGGTCATATTAGATTACAAAGCTGTGTATACACACGCAGAATTAACTCTTATTGTCCAGGAACACATGGCCGTGTGCATGTGATTTTTTATGTACAATGTGAAGCCAACCAAACTGTCTGTATACTGTGGGGTATACACAGAGGAGCAGATAGCATATAGCTGTCCTTTTATACTTGACTAGAGGGGGCCCACTGCACAAAATTCGTGCACAGGGAGGGTCCCTAGGCCTGGCCGGCGATAAGGGCCGCCAGCCAGGGCTTTCCTTTCCCCTGCTGCCAGCTGCCGGCTGGGGCCTTCCTTCATTCCGTGCCACCCCCTAGTGGTCAGCGCACATCATAGCAAGTGGTCGAACCCCTGGTGGGTTGAACTCCCGAGGGGACAATTTGCATATTAGCCTTTTATTATATAGGATTTTAGCTTTCAAAACTTTATGTAGAGAGCAGACCAAACAGTTTCAATGCCTCAGTGTCACATTGGAGAGCTTCTCCCTTTTGACACTGCCTAACTCCAGCAGGCCTACCCCTGCCCACTGGGAATATGACACACAGTTTTAAGTATTGCTTTCCTTCTCCATCTCCTTCACTAGACTTTGGGCATCGTGGGCAGGCCTATGTGTCACCTTTATCCTCATCACTCAGGCCAGTGCTTGGCCTAGAGTAGGCAAGTGAGTATTTGTTGGCTAAATGAATAATGTAAGTGGTACAGAGATGGGACCAGTGTTGTGTCGCCCCCTAGATGCAATACCACCTGATGCTGCACATCCAGATGCAGTTGTGTGAGCTCTCCCTGTGGGACTGGATCGTGGAGAGGAACAGGCGGAGCCGGGAGTGTGTGGATGAGTCTGCCTGTAAGTACCATGTGGCTCTGCAGGTGCGGGGCTGGGGGATAAAGACAGGAGGACCCGCCGCCTCCTGCTGCCAGGTCTTTAGATGGAAAAAAAAAAATCTGTTTTAAACCAAAGAAACAATTAAGCTTATTTCAACATTTTTAAAAAACAAATAGTAATTGGAAGTTAATTTTCTCGGTGATAGATACATAGTTTGTTGATATTTAAGCAGTAATGTGCTAGAACTTAGGAAACTGATTTAGGGTGGAAAAGGTCTTTAAAATTTTTTTAAGGAAAAAATTTAAATACTTGTTTTTATTTTTTTAACCTGAAAATGTGGTATTCTTACAAAAAGAAACCATAAAAGAAACCATTATAGGAAGGCATGTGCTCAAAAGTTTGTCTCCTTCAAGCTCCAGATCCCCCTTCCCTCCCCTGCAGTTGTATATTCCCTAGAAATGCTATCAAGTTAATATATGTGTGTGTGTGTGTGTGTGTGTGTGTGTGTGTGTGTATATGTATATCCTCACCCAAGGATATGTTTTTATTGATTTTAGAGAGAGGAAGGGAGAGGGAGAGAAGGGAGATGGATGTGAGAGAGAAACATCAATTGGTTGCCTCCTATATATACCCCGACTGGGAATTGAACCTGCAACCAGGATATATGCCCTGACCAGCAATCAAACCCTCGACTTTTTGGTGTATGGGATGACACTCCAGCTAACTGTGCCACACCAGTCAGGGAGTCATGTTAATATATATAAAGATTTTTAAAAAATCGATTTTTAGAAAGAGTGGAAGCGGGAGGGGGAAAGAAAGAGAAACATCGATGTGAGAGTGAAGCATCGATCGGCTCCTCCTGACCTCCCCCCACTGTGGAGTGAGCCCACCACCAGGGCATGTGCCCTGACCTGGAATTGAACCGGTTACCTATTGGTGCATGGGTCAGTGCACCACCATTGAGCCACACTGGCCGGTCTAGCAGGCGAATTTTTAAGTTGATAATTTTGTATGGCCCTTGAATGATGTTAAAATATCCACATGGTCCTTGGCAGAAAAAAGTTTCCTCACTCCTGTTTAGTGGAACCATTGCTTTTACACACACGTGTGTGTACACATATCCACACACACACACAGATCCCTAAATTGTATGCTAGGTAGTATAAAGGAGGGTGTGGAGTAGGTGTGAGCTGTTGATAACAAAGTGGGCTCATTCGGGGTGGAGAAAGGGGCCTACAGTGTTCTTGTTCTTGAAGGTCAACAATAGGTTGAGGATTTAAAATGACTTGAATACAGAAGAGCTAGTAAGTTCCCACTATATTACTAAACTTCCTTGGCTGGAAACTTCAGGATGTTTTTTTAATCAATTTTTTTTTTTTTAATTTTAGTCTTACAAACCTCTCCACCCTCTAAATTCATATGCTCTGTCATCATATTAACAGATGAATTATTCAGTCATTTACTTTTTCCCCATATGCTTCATTTGTCGGCCATTTTTGAAAAGGTGCGTTCTAAATCCGGATGATGAAGCTCACCCCTTGGGGTGAACATAACTTACCTTCTTACTCTATTATTTGTACTAGGATCTCCAATCCACAGTGGGCCAGGACACCAGGCTTATTAGCATGAAACCCAGGATGGCAGGGGTTGAAGGGGACTTAAACGTGAATTAGCCTGGCCACCTGGTGCCTGGGAATTGCTTACTAATTGCCACGGGGGCTCTGAGTGAAATGGGAGGTCCCTTTCTGGTGACAGATTCCGTTGAAGGTGGGCGCTAGTGTTCGATGGCAGCTTTACTAGCTGAGGAGCCCTCTGGGTTTGAACCATTTTTTGGAGTGTTGACTTTGTTGAAAATCTGAATGTTGTGTAGGTGTCAGATGTTAATGTATTTAGATAATTAACATTTGGATATTAATGAGTAAAAAAAAATTAGAGAAAGAAAACTTTTTTTTTTTTTTTTTTAACTTCAGGTCCTTACGTTATGGCCAGTGTTGCAACAAAAATTTTTCAAGAATTGGTGGAAGGTGTATTTTACATCCATAGCATGGGGGTTGTGCACAGAGACCTGAAGGTAAGTGGCAAAGATGAAATCATTGAAAACTTCTTATCGGGGCTGACTTGTGTTGATTCATTGAATGAAGGGGACTAGGTACCCTAGTTCATTTATCTGGAAGGGTGCCATTACTTTCATTTAAATCATCATTTTTTTAGGTCCAGAACATAAAAACTTGATTGAATTTAAAAGCAGTAAACTTGGGGCATGAATATTCTCACTGTTTTTCCGGTAGTAAGTGTGTTCTGCGTACTGCTATAATTGATGATGCTAAGTGTATTTAATGCTGACAAAAATATTCATCTATTAATTCAATCTTAGAGGTAAAGTCTGTTTTTATAATTACCTGTCTTAAAGGAAATTTAACATAGAAAATTTCATTCTGCTGTTTTCAAAATCTATAGTTACTATTCCAACATTTATCCACAAAACACTATCAAGAAAGAGAGAACATATATTTACTTCTTTGGCTGAGAGTTTTAAATTAAGTTGCTTACCTTTTAGGCAAAATTTAAAACATGGCCGAAACCGGTTTGGCTCAGTGGATAGAGCGTCAGCCTGCGGACTGAGGTCCCAGGATAAAATATATTTTAAAAAAAATTTAAAACATGAAAAATGCATTTAAAAGAATGTCTAGAAACAAAAAGGTAATATGCAAATCATTTTATTTTTTGAAGAAGTTTAAGAACCAGTAGTTTGTACATTTGGGATGGATGAGGCAAATGGATTGTTTTCTGGGTACCAGTCTAGCCAGAAACCGCGATTGGAATTCTGAAATCCTGTGGCACCGTGACACTGTGAGGTCTTATTTCAAGAGGCAAGCCAGGTCATAATACCCGTAGACAGAATTCCAGATCTTCTCCGGGAGGAGGCGCTTCACATGCTGTTTGTATCTCTCCCCATACATGTTCCTGATGTTTCTCTTACAGATATCCTCTAGGGAGAAGGGTTTTTGCGACAACTTGATTAGGGATTCCCTTAAGAGTTGGAACTCTGATAGCATGAGTCCTGCAGGCAGAATTCCTTGGTTATTGGTCAGTCTCAAGGGGTATGAGCGGTAAAGCAGCTTGGCAAGCAGCACTGTGTCCCTTATGTTGGAGCTGCGCTGGAGGTACATGTGTATGGGAGATTCCCCGTTTTTTGTGAGGATGTTAATGTTGGCTTCAAATTCAAGCAAGAGATCGATGACTGTCTCTCTGCCGGCAAAACATGCCTCGTGGATGGCTGTTTGGCCCTTGTGGTCCTGGACATTGACTTGGGCTCCGTGAGTCAGCAGCAGCCGGATGCAGCTCAGCCCTGCGGCCAGCACTCGGCCCGCTTTGCTGGACGCGGCGCACACCGCCAGCTTCAGGGCCGTGTTCCCCGTGAAAGGGACGGCGTAGTTGACATTGGCTCCACAGGCAATGAGCGTTTCCATCATCTCCTTGTTCAGTATGTCTGCCGCCATGTGCAGGGGAGTCATGCTGGATTCATTAATGGCATTCACCTGGGCGCCGTTTTGGGCTAAAATGGAGAGGACCGGGTAGGTCCCGTATCTTATCGCCAGGTGGAGGGCGGAGTGCTTGTGGCTGTTGTTCACCTGAGCGTTCACTTGAGCTCCGTGCTCACACAGGATGCGGAGACACGTCACGGCGTTGTTCTGAATGTCCGCCAGGAGCCTTTGGATTCTGTTCCCTGGCTTTGTCTGGACGGTAGAGGTGATTGGCCAGTGCAGTAGCATCAGGTGAAGTGTGGTGAGGCCTCGTGTGTCCCTGGAATAGGTAGTGAGCGCTGGTTACACTGAATACATAGTGGAAATGGCTCTACGCAGGGAATTAGCGCTCAAGAAGGTGTCATTTATTTAAAGTAATCCCCGCCCTGCCCTGACTGGTTTGGCTCAGTGGATAGAGCATCGGCCTGCAGACTGAAGGGTCCCGGGTTCGATTCCAGTCAAGGGCATGTACCTTGGTTGCAGGCACATCCCCAGTAGGGGGTGTGCAGGAGGCGGCTGATCCATGTTTCTCTCTCATTGATGTTTCTAACTCTCTATCCCCCTCCCTTCCTCTCTGTAAAAAATCAATAAAATATATATTTTTAAAAATAATAAGTAAAGTAATCCCTGCCCTTACTTAGTTTAAAAGAAGTGTTTGTAAATCTGCATTGCTGTTTAATTTTTCAGGATATCACAGCGTTTTGGGGGGTGGAGTGGTATGCATCAGTGCACGGGGGGCCCCAGCTTCCTCTGGCAGCTTGTTTTTACTTTGTTCCTCCTGCAAGGGTTGGGGCCTCTTCAGGGCTGTGTCTCAGTGTTTTTGGTACCGCAGCTCCTCAGTGCGGAGCTGAGTTCTGTGGACTTGAGTGCGATCGGCTCTGCATCTGTCCCTGTGCCTGATGCTCCCTGTGTGTGTAGGTGGATTAGATCAGTGGTCACCAACCTTTTGGACCTCACGGACCACCTGTGGTTCTTGGACCACCGGTTGGCGACCGCTGGATTAGATGACAGGGTTGAATCTGGAGACCCACAGCCACTCTGCACTTAGGCCCATCCGTCTTCATTCCCTGCTTCCACCCGGGTGGATGCATGTTTTACAACCTGGCCCTCATCTACTTTTTCCTGAAATCTCTCAGGATTGCCTCCAAAAGCCCTTTGTTGTGGCAGAGAAAGGGGGAAGGGTTATTCGGAACACTACTGCTGAGCGCTTAGTACTCGGGATGCTTTAAGTGGGCTGACTGATTTGTGTTCTTGCATTTCCCACCCTCTTTTTCAGAGTATCTCCTCTAATTAGCAAAGAAATTGGTTTGTTCAAAACAAGATAATTTCTAGGCCACAACTCCTGCAGAGCGGATGAGCCCAGACATGACTGGGAGAGCTAACGTCTAGGTCACGTGTCTCCTCATTTAGAAATGGCCACCTGTTGAGTTACTTACCTTACTTCCGGGTCAGCACCGTGTTCTAACAAACAGTGCAGACTCTGTGCCTTGCGGTGCTCGGCAGCCAGGTGGATGGGGATGATGGACTGCGTCTGCTTCAGGGGGAAAGACCCAAGTCCGTTACAGGTGTCCTGTGTGGTTAGAACAGGGTGTCAGCTTGCCAGTCCAGAGCAAGCCGGTGGTCTGTGTGTCTCAGTGCAGCACTTCTCTGCTATGTGCATTGACATTTTCCTTTTCTTTGGCCTGTTTTCCGTGACCCAAAGCCAGTGAATTTTATGAATGTTATAAAATCTGTGTGTTAAAGGAAGGCAGATTTACCAAGGCAACAAAATAACTCACTCAAAGCTTTTAAAGTTGGTTGTTGCGAGGAGCGCCTAGTGTAAAATTAATGACAATTGCTATTAAGCCACTTCGTCCTTAAACTAACCTGCAGGGTGATTGACAAGTAGGTTTTGTGTTTTTTAAGGTTTTGCCATAGTATCAGCAGTAAAACCTACACTTCCAGGGTTTCAGAGATAAGCAGCAAATACGCTGTCTATGATTAGCAGAGATGTTTATGCTGGGTCTTAAAAATATATATGTAAGTAGTGGCTTTACAGCATGGCTGCAAGGTAAGAGGGCGGAGTAAAGGAGAGGGTCACTTTTCAAAGGAAATAAATGATAACGGTAATAATTATTGTATAAACATTTAGAAAATGAAAAGTTATATGTAAAAGGGAAAAGAGAATTCCATCCCACGGACCCAGTGACCACTGGCATGTTTGAGAGGCGACGCTAATGTCCCTCCAACCGAACGAGCGCTAGTCTTTTCCCTCATCAGTGTGGTAACTGGAGGGCGGTGTGGGCTGCCGCGGGGAGTGTGCTGGCACACACTGTCCAGCGCGGCCTGTGGGGACGGACAGCCAGGAGGTTGAATGAGTTCACAAGAACTTGATGGGGGTCCTTTCAAAGCATCAGGAGTCTTTTCTCTAAAAGTGACGGAGCGGAGAGCAGGGTACCTGTGTCAGAAGTAACCCGCAGCTGGTGGAGTTGGTCAGGACCGTCAGGGGCTGGTTGACGGGGTGGCTGCGCAGCAGGGCCTGGATGGCAGCACAGTTTTCTGTCATGATGGCTTCGTAGAGTCTGGTGTGGACCACTTCACGTGGGCCCTCCTCCAGGGACTTGGCCCTGTCAGCGACCAGCTCCCTGCTGCCTCTCTTGACTATGTTTCCCATGAGAAACACGTAAGATTGAGGACTTCAGAGGTCAGGGAAACTTGTTGCGGAAGTGGTCAGTTTCCGAGTCTTTATGATTCCTCAGGTGAGTTCTAGAACTGTTCTAGAATTGTTGAGAGCCGTATCCATGAACACGACTCATTTCTGTATCAGAGTCAGACTTTTTCATACTTTGTTCCTATCTCACATGATGTCAAATATAAGCACAGGTTTTAGGACTTCCTACTTGATCACAAAAACATACCCAAATTATCTTACATGTAAGATTCTGTTTTCTCTTTCCATTTAGCTATAGATAAAAAAAAAAAAAACTAACAAAGCTAAAACACAATTATACATTAAAATAAAAAATTAGAATTACTACATTTAAAATTAAAAAACCCAACTTTTAACCTAACTGTTTAGATGTCAGTGGCCTTCGCCCCTCCCCCAGTACAGGGGCAGTGTTTCACTGGCATAGGATTAGTTCCACTGGGGATGTTTCGGGTCCGTGGTGGTCGCTTACATAGAGCTAAGTGTGTACCTTTACAGTGTGACTTAGTTGTCCCCGATCCTGGCTAACAGAATTATCTGGGAGCTTAAAACATTTTTTTATAGTTTTTTTTTTCATTAAGAAAAACTGTAGTGTTGGACTTGTTGGAGAGGACAGTCGTTTTTTTAAAAAAATATATTTTATTGATTTTTTACAGAGAGGAAGGGAGAGGGATAGAGAGTTAGAAACATCGATGAGAGAGAAACATCGATCAGCTGCCTCCTGCACACCCCTACTGGGGATATGCCCACAACCAAGGTACATGCCCTTGACCAGAATCGAACCTGGGACCTTTCAATCCGCAGGCTGACGCTCTATCCACTGAGCCAAACCGGTTAGGGCAGGACAGTTGTTTTTATGTTTATTTAAAAAAATATTTTAAATTAATTTTTAGAGAGGAAAGAAGAGAGACAGAAACACCGATGAGAGAGAAACATCATCGATTGGCTGCCTCCTGCACGCCCCTACTGGGGATTGAGCCTGCAATCTGGGCATGTGCCCTGACCTGGAATCGAACCAATGACCTCTTGGTTCCTGGGTCGATGCTCAACTGCTGAGTAACACCAGCCGGGTGCGATTTTTTTTAAAGCTCCCCGGTGACTCTAATGTGTGGCTGAGTTTGAGAACCACTGCTCTGATTTTTAATTTTTGAGGGGCTACTTGCTCCTGAGTTGAAAACTCTTTAACATCCAGACATTTTTTACTATTTGTTTTTAGGACGCCAAGGAATTCACTTGTTCTGTTTGTTTGTAGCCCAGAAATATTTTTCTTCATGGCCCTGACCAGCAAGTGAAAATAGGAGACTTCGGTCTGGCCTGCACAGACATCATACAGAACCCAGACTGGACCGGCAGGGATGGGAAGAGTAAGTTTTGGCATTTTTTTCCATTAAAAAATCAAGATGTCACTATTTAAAGAGAATTATGAAGATTTAATAGCAAAGTGAGGGAAAGACAGCGTGCTGTAGTACCCAGAGTCAGTGTTCCTGCATGTGCTAACGCTGCAGTATTTAATGTGTAGCTTTTCAAATTACAGGACCACCAACACATACTTCCAGAGTGGGCACCTGCCTGTACGCATCACCCGAACAGCTGGAAGGATCTGAATATGATGCCCAGGTAGTGTTTCCTGCTTCTTACCTTCTGCTGGACTCACTCTGCAGTTGTAATAACAAAAAGCACAGGAGAGCAGTGCAAGTCCCCAGGGCAAGGTGTTTGGAGTAACAGTTCTGTAGTGTATCTACCGTCCAGCGGGCACAACAGGAAACTTCACTTTGCAGCTGAACCTGACTGCATTTTTTTAGGCTCCTTGACTATTTCTAAACCCATGGGCATAGGAATAGTGTTTGAATGGGCTTTCCCTTCAGAGTGTCACATTCACCCCGGAAGGCGAGCGTTCAGAGGCCTCTTTTCAGCTTCCATTCTTGTTTCCCAGCTCAAGTAAGTGCTAAGTCATGCTCTGGGCAGCGTGTCCCTTCCGTCCCTTTAATCCACATAGTTCCCGGAAGGAATGGTAAGTAACTCCTTCTCAACATGAAACCTAATAAAGTTTCTTCCTCTTAATGAATCATTGAACTTTTTTGTTTTGTTTTGTTATTCCTCACCCAAGGATATTTTTTCCATTGATTTTTAGAGCGAGTAGAAGGGAGGGGTGGAGAGAGAAAACATTGGTGTGAGAGAGACACAGTGATTAGTTGCCTCTGGCACTGGCGCCCCTCCCTCCCCCCAGGGTGGGGAATGAACCCTCAACTCAGGTGCATGATTGGGAAAGAGCTGCCAGAAAAGAACTGTGGTCGTTTCGAAAGCCTGTGTAGTCCAGGCCCTCCTGACAAACGTATTTTCAGGAGCAGCAGCACAGTTTCTGCAGGGTGCTAAGCTTTGCCAAGACTTCCTGCCTGAGTGAAGCCGGGTGAGGTTGGCAGAGGCCCCTGGGACACGCGGCCCCAGCACGAGGGAGCTCACATCTGTGTCCGAGGGAGCTCACATCTGTGTCCGGCGGGCCGGGCCTGGGTTTTCAAGGAGGGTGGATCGAGTCAGGTGTGTGGTACAGACTCTGTGGTGCTAAGCTTTGCCAAGACTTCCTGCCTGAGTGAAGCCCGGTGAGGTTGGCAGAGGCCCCTTGGACACGTGGCCCCAGCACGAGGGAGCTCACATCTGTCCGGCTGGCAGGGCCTGGGTTTTCAAGGAGGGTGGATGGAGTCAGGTGTGTGGTACAGACTCTGTACTGATGGGATCATCCTGTCCTCACCTGGCCATCAGTCCTTTGTCCCCTGAGCCCCTTTTTGGTATTAAAGGGAGGGGCTTTGTGACAGTACTTGCCACCTCGCAGTAGATCTGGCTGGCAGGTAATGGCCAGTGATAGATGAGCCAGCCGTACGTTAGAGACTATAAATCATCTTTTCTACAAATGCTCTCATGCTGGAGAGGACGGCGTACTGACGGGGCACTGTGATGCTCACTGTGCATCTCATCACTCAGTGACCCTCTCCCCTTCGCAGTCGGACATGTACAGCTTGGGCGTGATCCTGTTGGAGCTCTTCCAGCCGTTTGGAACAGAAATGGAGCGAGCACAGGTTCTAACGGGTCTGAGAACTGGTCAGATGCCCGAGTCCCTCAGCCAGAGGTGTCCCGTCCAAGCCAGGTGCATCCAGGAGCTGACCAGAAAGAACGCATCCCAGAGGCCGTCGGCTATACAGCTGCTGCAGAGCGACCTTTTCCAGAATCCCGGAAGCGTATGTACAGGTTTTTTTAAAGCTGGGGAAAATATGGAGCTTAGAATTCATTTAAATTGAGTCCTATTTCATGAAGAACAATAGAGCTTACAGTAAGGTTTATGGAAACAATATTTGAACCCATTCTCAAGAGTTCCCAGTCGCACTGTTATTTGCCCAGTCTAAGTGCACACGATGACCCCTGCCAGCTGCCTGCTCTGAAAATTGTAATTACAGGCTTCATCTCGCTAAGCCAAAAGGTACTAGTTTTCCTTTCCAGCTCTGGTGTGTAACCTTTCATAAATGATTATAACATGCCTGCCAGTAAAAAGGGACACAGCAGAGGGTAAAATTACAGCAGTCATTCTCAGCGGGTGAGCAGGGGTGCCTGAGCCAGCCTGAGATCTTCAGCATTCACGTGCGATTCTGGCGCTCCGTCCTGTGCGTGGCATTGCCCCGGGCAGCCCATTCCCTTCCTCCCACCTGACCCGTAGCATGCCAGCCCCTCATCTGCAAGTATGACTCATCCATTCTGGCAACACGATCATCTATTCTGTTCCTTGAGAAACTTGCTGAGAGTTAAGAGCTTGATTCAAACATATGCTCACAGATCCTAGAGCACTTGGCTACTCAAAGCGTGATCCTCAGACCTGCAGCAGCAGCATTATCTGGGGCTTATTAGGAACACAGGGTCTTAGGCTCCACCCAGATCTGCTGAGTCAGAATCTCCTTACGAAAACCAAGTGGTTTACATACACAGTGTCTGAGCAGCACTGCAGAGAGCAGTGCTTGTCTGTCTCCAGACCAGCAGCATTAGGTCACTGGAACGTGACAGAATCCTCAGGCCCTCCCGCACGCCTCATTCAGGGGTGGGGGTGGGAGTCGGGGTGAGGGGCAGCCATCTGTGCTTTAACAGGCCCTCGAAGTGATTCTGGTGCCCACTAATTTGGGAACCTCTTATAGTAACTGTTTAGTTGATTTATCTCCTACTCAAGGCTTATTAATTTTCAAGTAAAACTGAATCTTACTAGCTTGAATGATAAACAGGTACATGGGGTACTTTTCTGAGACTTTGAAAATGGCAATGTGGTTATTAAATGACCTCAGATGGAAGGGATTTCTCATTCCCGGTTAAGGTAGCTTTTAGAGACCAAGTATTTGTGTTTATGGTAAGGATGTCTCCTGTCTTATAGAATTTTTTATAAAATAAAACCATGCAGAGGGGTCTTAATAATCCAGGGGGGAAGTTAGGATTATTCCATGACTTTAAGAATGTGTATCAAAGCATTGAAAACTCTTATGGAAATGAAAAACAACAACAAACACCTGTAAAACTAATATTTAGTGCAATATAATTGAGAAAGTGTTTCAAGAGTAGTTTGAACAATGCCCGCCTCCCCTATAACTCAGGGCGGTGAATTGTCATGCTCCTGGCTACGTTTGGATCAGCTTCCAACACCTGGTCTTGGGCACTTTCGATGTGAAATGTCTTCTCGAGTTCACAGAATGTGAAGTTTTTGCTGGTGTCACACTCTGGGGCAGCGCCATCATTTTCCTCAATTTGTTGACAAGTCCCTTTCCTTGGTTCCGTGGCTGCCCACCCCGTCTAGTGGCAGCAGGGCCAGCATTCCCAGGTCAGCTGTTTCTCCTGTGACAGTGTTTTGGGTTGACTCATTGCCGCTTCCAGCATTACCACTTTTCACTGGCTTGCTGTCCTTGGCCAGTCCCCTTTCAGGTGTCCATTTTTGAAAAAAATGCCACTTGGGTCTATCACTGGGACAGGAGGCAGCCTGGCTACACACATGGCCTGTGTGTGGACTAACAGATGCACTGACAGACTTTGAGTGAAAGGATGTGACTGTCCGGATCAGGACGTCTATGGGCTAGTGTTCTGTGGATAAACTGTTGTGGTAACTGACATTTGAACCACGTTGCTGGGTTACTGGCCCTAATTTCACTAAACTGATGACTGGATCCATGCATTTTGGGACTGTGCAAAGTGAGGCATGCTTGTGTATTTAAAAGGAAAGAAGCCATTTTAATGGAGCTTAAACATTTCTATTTCAGGTCAATCTCACCCTGCAGATGAAGATAGTAGAGCAAGAAAAAGAAATAGAAGAACTAAAGAAGCAGTTACGCCTCCTTTCTCAAAACGAAGGGGTGAAGGATGACATGAAAGATGGGGGTGTTCCTGTCTAGCTTAGTCTCTAGAAATATAAAAATGAACTTCAACTCTATAAGCTAAACCCAACTGGAATATATAGTTTCAGTCTTAGGGTATAGATGGTGAAATACTTGGTTTTAGTCAGGAAGCTTGTACATGATTTATTCAAGTGAGATTGCGGAAGTACCACCACCTACTTCCTTAAGTAGCCCTTTCCTGACCCAGCACCGGAACTCGACTGCTCTAAACACCTATTGTACTCTTTCCTGTCTTTGTCCCACAAGCTCCTGTTCCTGATTTCTTAGTATTAGTGTCTGTCTAGTCTCTCAGACTAAAAGTTTAGGCATCAACATCAGTTCTTTTTCTTTTGAACTCTGTCCCCCTCTAGAAGCTTCTGCAGAAATCTGAGTGTGCTCCACACCGTCACCACCCAGATCCAGCCTGCGCACGAGCTGGGCTTTTTTTAACCCTCTCACACGCTGCTAGTCAACCGCCAGGACATCTCAGTTCCCGCCAGGCTCAAAAGCCTTCGCTGCCTCCAAGAGAACACTGCGGCTTGGCAGTGCATGTCGCCCAGTCTATGTCTGTCCTCATCACCTCCAACCTGGCATCATCATGCCCTTTCAGGGCTCTGTACTTCGTGCCCCGAAATGATTTCAAAGCAGCTTGGACGCCAGTGTTCCTGATTTTGCCCCTGCATTGTTCTTCACAGCACCGGACTCCTATGCTCCAAGTCAGCAATATGACATGCTCATCTTTGCACTCAGAGGCGCCTGCCGCCTGGCTGGCAGGTGTTGTGGTATACTGCATGTGATACCGCTGAATTTTAAATAAAACAGACCCACAAGTTACATGGTGCTTTTATTGATACTCCACAACTGGCCTAAAGACCGGTTTTAGTACAAGTCCCTTTACCAACAACAGGCATGAAACACCACCATTCTTACAATCTAAACCCTTTACAATCAATTCCTGAGGTTCACTTAAGGAGCTTGAGGGCAGAGCTGAAAGGGGCCAGGTTCTCACAGGCCCGCATCCACTTCTGCACGTTGGCTGGCACGGGCACGCTGCAGCCCCCCGCCTGCTGGAGCACGGACCAGAGCACCACGTCCGCCACGGTGAGTTCGTTCCCCACGAGCCAGGGGCTCTTCCCGAGAGCAGAGTTCATGGAGCCGAGCACGGTGGCTTTTTCTTTGCTGCTTCCTTCTTTTAACTGAAAAATGGCTATATCTACCCAGCTATCGATGAGGGTTAAGTTTACCGCATTATGCTTCTGGCCGAACAGAGAGAACAAAAAACGTGCGATGTTCCCTTCTCCTTCGATGGGGCACATCCTCTGGACACTGAACTTCATCTGGGTCTTGGGCACTGAAAGGAAAACACCCTGAATGTCAACAGGAGCAGTGCCCGGAGAAGCACTTGTCCACGCGGGGAGGGGATCCACTCACCGTGAACTGGTGGCAAGGGAAGGTGTACTTTCAGAGAATAAATTCACATGTTTTAGGTGAAACATTAAAGTTTAAGCTATGTTTAAAGAGTGCAGACTATATGTTAGGCAAGTAATCACGTCTGGTACTTGACCCTGACAGTTTTCAAACTAGAAGGGACCTCGGACCATCTACTCCAGCCGTGTCTGGATTGGCAGGATGAGGACAAAACCAGGAGTCCCCTCGCCCAGGTCAGAGACTTGAGGCCTCCCTGGGCGAATGGCATCACCTCACTTCCCTCTGTATAAAGGTCACCAGGGGAGGCATTCTTTAGTGGGATAATGAGTAAATGACACCCTGCCATCCTTTTATGTCCATCTGAAAAGAAAACATCACTGTCCCCGTAATGATAGGTTTTGGAATGTGAGGGCAAGGCGGCCATGACAGCTGCTACCCCCCTGCTCCGGCTGGCTAGACAGGATCCCCCTCAAGCTGCATTCCTCTTCTAGGCCGCCTGACAGACAGCACATGGCTGAAGGACATCACTGTGCTAGCCCTCGCTGCCTTTTACTAAGATCATGGTGCACATTCCATTACATAGGATAGGAGTGGAACCCAGTCCCCTCTACTTACCATTCTTCCAAATGAGAGTAAAGCCCAGCTGGTACTCATGACGGGACGGGTTCTTAGTCTGCTCGCCAAAGCACCTGAGGAGGTTTTCTGGCACGTTCTTGACCGCTGAATGCGTGTGAACAGTGGACAGGACCTTGTACTGGTCGCAGAGCAGCTGGTGCAGCACGAGCAGGGAGAGGGGAGGCGAGGCGGGGTTCGCATTGATCACGATGTCTTTCAGGGCCCCGTAATCCTGGGGGGGGACCCAAACAGCAATTTGAGTGTGTACTTGTACCAGGTGCTACTCTTACACCCTAATGCCCACGAAGAAGGTGCTACCATCACCCCACCTCACAGTTGAAGTGAGTCCTGGGGCGGTAACGTGACTCATCCAAGGTCACTCAGCTCAGGGAAGGGAGCTGGGCTCTGAGCTTGATGCCAACCCCAAGCCCCTGCACTGCTGGCTCCTGGCAAAAAGTTGACCTTCACTGTCAAATTAGTAAAACATGTTAGGAATGACACTTCTATTTGTCCCCAAGTTAAAAAAATCACATGCAATTATAATCGGCCTTTCACATCTAGGGGTTTCACACCTGCAGATTCAAACAACTGGGGAATGAAAACTATTTCTTTTGTTGTTAATCCTTTCCTGAGGATATTTTCCCATTGATTTTAGATAGGTAGGTAGGTAGGGAGGGAGGGAGGGAGGAATATTGATGTGGGGGACACATAATCAATTGGTTGCCTCCCTTGTGGGTCCTGACCAGGGTTGGGGATCTAACCTGCAACCCAGGTACGAACGTGCCCTGGACCAGCAATCAAACCCTCAGCCTTTTGGTGCAGGGGCCAGTGCTCTAACTATTGACCCACACCAGCCAGGACTGAAAACTTCTTGATCCATGGTTGGGGATCTGCAGATTATATGCATTGTCCTGTCATGTCATGGAAGGGACTTGAGCATATACGGATTTTGGATCTGAGGGGACCCTGCAATCGGTTCCCCACAGGTACGGAGGTACGACTACATCCCGTTTACCAACTCTTTCTAACACCTGACCCCCTAACAGCATCTCGTTTCTGTATCTAATCAATTTGTGTTTGCGCTGTGTTGAAGAGTCTCTTGGAGTCAATCTGGCCTCTGGTCTTGCTCTCCTGACCGATGCCCTTCACAGGGGCTATGATGAATGCTTCGCAGCTGTCTGAACAGTGTGTCACTTGACACTGTGCCTTCTGAGGTATCAACATTCATCTCCGGCAGCACGTGCCTTGGGGAGCCTTCCCAGTGTCTGAGACTGACTCACCAACTGGCTGGCTCCCCAGGGCCCCCAGGGCCTGCCAGGCATCACTGCACACCAACATGTACTGGGTGATGAAGGGACACGTGTGAAGAGGTATGGAGGTTACAGAAGACTGAGCCCTGGGAGAGCTGTAATCCCACCTCCATTTTTCAGGTCAAGTAGTACCATTTCTATTGCCAATTCTACAGGAGAGTATTAGCAGGGATTCTTGGGACAAACCCTTTACACCTCCAATAAATATTATTTTGTTTTTGTTTTTTTTTATTATTACTTTTTTATTGCTTAAAGTATTACAAAGGGTATTACATATGTGTCCTTTTTTTTCCCCCATCCTTGACAATCCCCTGGCCTCCCCTCCCCCCCAGTGTCTTATGTCCATTGGTTATGCTTATATGAATATTACTTTGTAATAAGACATTCTTTCCTTACCTGTCTCTTTATACCCTAAATTAGCTGAATACTGTAGACTGATTATTAAAGGTGGCCAATATAACTTGATTGGTGGGATTTTTGTGCAGCCAGAGCCCTGAAATTCAGGCTACTCTCAGAGTCAGGGTTGACGGCTGACCCTGAGCAGCACTGAGGGGTGACTTAAGGTCTGTTTCTCCAGGGCTCAGGCTGCCGGGATGCTGCCGGGACTGGAAGAAGCTGTACTGGACTCCCTTCTCTTCAGCAGTGGGTCTGAGAGGTCAGCAGCAGCAGCAGCTTTAGAATTTGCTTTGGCTTCACCAGAGCTCATGCGCCTACTCAGTGCAACGGCACAATCCCGCAGGGGAGAAGAGAACGTGCTCCGTCCCACCTCTGAAGACTAGCGAGCCCAGGCCTCACTCGCACGAGCACCAACCACCCGGCATGCTGACGTCCTTTAGTTTTAAGTGAACTCACCTTCCCAAGGACTGAATTTAAGTCCAATGCATTGGCTGATAAAGCGGTGCGCCCTTCGGCTTGGATTATGTTGGTTACGTCCAAGTCCGCATCTGGTGTCTGAATCATCTTGGAGAGACCATCGACTGCGGCTTTCAATTCGTACAGACGTTTTAAAATGTTATCTTGACGGGACTCCAGAGCTTGAAGAGATGGGTCAGACCCTCCCTAAGCAAACCAACACCAGAGTGTTCATTTCCTCGGTCAAAGCAGTCTGCTTAATTTGATCACTTGTCTTCTACTGAGTTCCACAAATTCATCAAACCTCCCATCTTTTAAAAAACAGTAAAATGAACTAGCAGAATCTCATTTCTCCCATAGACTAATAGGTCCTGCAAGTAGATCCACAAATGCTTTAAAATAAATAAAAAACATGACTGAAAGCCCCTTTGTATGACTAATTTCGGGTAATTTAGTCCAAGAACAGAGAAGGATAGGAAATAAATACAAATTGTTCTTTATTCATATCAAAACACTTTGCTTAAACAAATAGAAAAAGGGGGACAGAGAAAATGTAACTCAATTTATACTATAGAAGGGAAAAGGGAGCACACATAGGTTAAAAAAAAGTGTTCTTTGGCTTGTAAGTCTCTCCGGGGGTCAAATGGTCAATTCCCCAAATCATTCACTCTCAGGGCAGTACTGGCACTCTCACTGTAGAATCACCTAGAACTTTTCACCGCTGACCTGTATAAACACGGAACACATTCTTCATTCACTGAACCTTTGCGTCTTTCTTGCCTGGTATAGTGACTGGTACACAGTTACCAATAATGTCTATGATAAATCTCAAGTCAATCTAGATTTAATTTATAAAGTAATATCAAGAAACCTCCCAGTACAGTCACATTGTACTACCTATCTCCAGATTCCTGAGCTCTCACAAAAGACCATCCACTTTGAGCTGAGAAAACATGAGCTAAATGCTCATAATGAGAGAGAACAGTCAGGAACATGGCAATGACCTTGAGTTATAAATATGCATTCATGATACAATGCGAGTGTAAGTGTACTTGCTCACATTTGAGTGCTGCTAAGTTTAATTCTTAGGAACATCTGTTCCCCCTAGTCACTCTTAACACTGCCCTCTCACGCTGATAGATTCACCACCAGGTGCTGGCAATTTTCTGGAATTCACTCTACTGTCACTGCCCAGGTCCAAGACACCGTTTTTTTCACCTGGTCTAGTTCCACTGGTCACCTCGCACCCATCCACAAGATGGCAGATAGAGAGAGGAAAACAGAGGCAGACCCTGTCACCTCCTCCCCGTGGTCACCTCGCACCCATCCACAAGATGGCAGATAGAGGAAAACAGAGGCAGACCCTGTCACCTCCTCCCCCGTGCTAACCTCCTAAGCTAAAAAGCAAAGCCCTTACACTGGCTTGATGAAGAGTTTGTATGATTTGCCCTTTGGCTGCCTCCTTTCACGTAATTCTCCCCTGCTCTGTCTCTAGCCATACAGTCCATGGGATTCCTAGAACACACCATGCCCCCAGTGGCCACTGGACTTTTCCTCATTCTGTTTCCTCCATCTGCAACATTCCTCTCTTATCTCATCTGTTTAACTCCTCTTTACCCTACAGCTGAA